ACCTCTCGTCACCCCTTCGGAACGGGTGATGAAAAGAGACACAAAGCTGAGAATTGGAAAAGTTCCTGGTCCCAATGCCTGGAGTAACTTTTCCAAGCGAAATGGCTTAGACCAGGTGAGCTCACCGAGGGAGAGAAAGATTTGGCCTCTCCTGGCAGACCTTGGCGGTGACTGGCTTTTCCATGCCCTGAGCCAGATGTTGGAGGAGAGGGGCTGTTTGTGCCCCCCCCCCAGTGGGGGCTTTCCCCTTCTCCCTCTGGGCCTGGCTGATCCCTGTGTGTGTTCATGTGTGTGTGCGTGTGTCTCCTTGCAGGGGTTTTGCTCTCTACAAGGCCAGGATGATCAAGCGAATGACATCACACCACCAGGCGGAGAAGAAGTCCTTGGTCCAGCTGAAGCGGCAGTAAGTTCTGGGGAATCCGGAGGCGGGCCGGAGAGAAGCCCCCCTGGGTTTTTAGCAAACACCGGTGGGACCGCCTGCAGCGGCTTCCACTCTGGGGTGGGGCTACGGGTGGCGTCCCGCCGTTCCTCCAGTGAGCGCTCAGCCATGCACACGCTCCCCTCCTCTCTCCATGCGCACCACTGTTTATCCTCACATTGACCCGTGGGGCAGTTCAGGTGGAAGGGCCGTGATAGACCTCAGGCACCCCTTGAGTGTTCTGGCTGTGTGTGTGGGGGGGGGCGTTCTTCTCACCCCCTGTCAACCGCTCTACCCATGGCACTGTCTTTGCTTGGAGGGGTTTACTCCACCGTCCTGCCAATGGGGTGGGAAGCAAGTCCGTTGCCTGGCCTTCAAGCCCTGCTTAGACAACCCCCCCTCCCTCCCTCCCTACCTGAAACAGTTTGACACCCTGGGCAAGGAAGCGTTTTTCTTTCCTTAATACCTATGCCTCTGCCCCCCACCCCCTCCCACTAAGGAGAGGAGAAGGACGCTCCCCTTTCCTTACCAGAAAAGCTCCCTGAGAACGGAGAGGTGCTTCCTCTACGGAGAGGTGGGAGGGCGGGCAGGGCAGCGGGAGAATGGGCCGCGGGCGCCGGCTTTTCCCACCGACCTGCCCCCAACTATTTCCACGTGCCTGCAGGATGGAGCGGATCCGGGCCAAGCAGGAGAAGTACCACCAAGGGCAGCAGCAGGCGGTGGC